AAGACCTTGATGATTTTTTTTTTTTGGCTCATAAACACTTCTTTTAAAACAACATCTTAATGTATCACATGTCCACGAAGCCAAAACATATGGTGTAAGTTTCCTATCAAGTACATATGGATTTTATTTAAAAAAAAAATGGCAAAGAGACTGAGAAATGGTGATCTCCAAAGTAGATTAACTAGGGGTCTGACTAACTCTCAAATTCAGCTAGAGCTCTCCTGCTTTAATTATATCAAGTTTCCTCTTTCTTTTGTGATTTTCCTAGAATGCATGTTTTTCACATTCCCGGGGAGGGCGAGTAAATAATGGAGGAAAAGAAAACAGCTCTCATCCTTTCTCCTGTCCAGTGTCCCCTTAGGTTTCTGCTCCTCTTCCATTATTATCTCTTCCTTCCTCACAAGACTATTCTTTTAGACTTGCCTATCCCCACTCTATTTACCCCCCTTGCTTCCAAACATTTACTCAGAGGAGCTCTATCCCTCCTCACTGCTTTGGAGTCAAAAGTAAGATCCTGGGGAGGTATCTGTGCGTCAGCTGTTGGGGAAACCTGTGGCTCATGTGCACACACATGTCCACAGAGTTTATAAGAACAACTCCTCTTCTCAGCAGAAATGTTCTTCCTCAGAGCAGAGCCTGGACTCTAATAAAGTCCAGCTGAGCAAGAACAGAGCTAGGAGTGGAACTGTACGAGGGAAAATGGGAGAGAAAAGGAGAGGGGATGGCAGGGTTCAGTTCTTAGAATTCACTAACCCACGCTGACACTCCACTCTGCCCTCCACCTTCAGCCACTGCTGTTTCCAGGCCTCAATCCACGCATACCATGGAGAACCAGAAAACCAATCCTCACTGCCTCCCTTCTCAACTGGAAGCCAGTGCTGAGGTTGGTGGTCACAGCATCAGTCCAGTGTCAAAAAGCAGAAAGAAAACAAAGACCTCTACCCAGTTCTAGAAAGTTCCATCTCAGAGCTGGGACACTTCCGTCTGCTATGACTATGCTACTGGCTCACTGGTTCTACCCGGAAGTTCCTGTAAGATTTGCTTAAAAAAAAAAAAAATGGCAAAGAAGAGAGAAATGGTGATCTCTAAAGCAGATTAATTAGGGGTCTGTACCACTTACCTCCCAGCAGAAAAATCATGCATTTTTCCCTCAGCTTCAGATAAGGGAAGATAACAGGAAGCTGTAGCATGACATGGCATCCCTCTTTCCCAAGAGCAAGACTTCACAGCTACATTCCATCAAAGTTCCCTTAATTAGGATTTAACCAAATGATAGTTGAAGCTGAACATGATTTCAAAGCTTGTAGTCTATTTCTTTTTTGAAAAATGAACCATAGCCATCTCCCCATGAGCTGTCTGGAGGGTGCAGTGCACACTAATGAGGTTTAATGACAGTGTGACAGGACCATAAATGGAGGCATCAATTCCCCACCACTGGCTACCAAAAATAAAGAAAAAAAAAACTACCTACACACATTAAAAAAACAAGATGCTTTGACTATAGTGGTAAAGAGACTCACCAAACTGGGTTTCCAGCTTAATTTTCCAGTGGAAAGCAATGTTCACACAAGCTAGAAATGCTCCAGCAAAAGCAACAAAGACCCAAGAGATGCTCCCATGCTTTGCTCAAAGGAACTACATCTGCATTTGCCTGTCTCTCCCAATCCTCCAACTCTCTCAAAATGTACTGAATGCATTATTAGCTCATGCAATAAATATTCACTGAGCCCCTGACACACACCAGGTGCTATTGTTAAGTATACAAAAAGATCTCTGCCCTCAACAATGCGGCAGGGAGAAACACAATACAACTAAGAAAGCAAGTTCTATAGTTTTTGTTGTCCGGTACTGGGAATTGAACTCAGGGGCACTCAACCACTGAGCCACACCCCCAGCCCTATTTTGTATTTTATTTAGAGAGAGGGTCTCACTGAGAAGCTTAGTGCCTTTCCGTTGCTGAGGCTGGCTTTGAACTGCAAGTTATATAGTTTATTGGCTAGAATAAGAGTTATGGGATACCAACCCCAAAACACAGTCATCACCCCAGCTGTGACAGGCTTCCCAACAGGGGCTGTGACTTCATCTCTCCCCGCTGGCACCTGTTACGTATTTGGCATACAATACAACCCCAATTTTTTAAAAATCCTCTCAATATACAAATGATTGAACAAGTTTCTTCAGAATAATTCCCTATGAGAAAAGTTACTGGAATGGTGAACAGAATGAGAGAAAAAAAAAAATCAGAAGTTCCTAAAAGACTGTAAGCTGTTTTTTAAAATTATGTACTGCCTGTACAGAAATGACAAGCGAGACAGCTCAGGTCAGAGTATTCATTTCAACCACGGTCTCAACCGAGAGCCAACCAATTCAACAATGCAGGTGAACCCCCCGAAATTACTAATACAACTGACAGAATGGGGGAATGTGATGTGCTTTTATCTGGAAAGAGGGCTAGTAACTTTCATTAGCTTCTCAGAGGTCTGCCATCCCATGAAGATTAAGAAGTGCTGCCCTAAAGAATACATGTATTTTGAAAACTACATGCATGCCTTTGGCCGTAGAAAAACCACACGACTTCTAATCCACAGTTAGCCTCTTCATTTTTCTTATGAGGTGGAGGCTTTAGAGACAGGCAAATGGCAGTCCCTCTGAGCAAAGCAACAGGGGAGCATTAGGTAGCCCCTCCTCCACATGTCCCTCACAGACCGTCTTGCCCACACTTACTGACCCTGACAAGGCCAGGCAGAGTCAGGACAGCAAGCCGCTCCTTGAGATTCTGAGTCCAAACCAAGCTCCCATGGGTCAAAATAACACCAGCAGATGTCACAGATGTCCCACTCAGGTCTTGCTTTAACTACTGTGAACAAAAGCCTGAGGACCATGAGTGGAACCTTCCCCCATGTTCCCTCCTATGTTCTTATCGGAGAGAGAAGACGCTTCCTCCCCAGGCAGCCATTCCCCTTGCTCTGCTTCCCATACTAGTGAGGAAGGTGAAAATCCAACAGCACAACACGCATGGCTGATACAGCTGTTGGAAAGTGTCCTCCAGGTGATTCCAGTGCTACTCCAGGGTTGAAAACTATGGGTCTAGAGAAGGTACCAGCAAGCGTGTTCTGTAAAGGCCCTGATAGTACATCTTTTTGCCTGGTGGGCTATCCGATCTGTTGTAACTATTCAATCCTGCTGATATGTCATCAGAGTAGCCACGGGTAATATGTAATCGAGGAGAAAATAACAGTAATCTGGGAAAGGGATCACAGGGCAACAATAACAAATAGTACTTTAAGTATTTCAAATGTCACACTATTCACAAGAGCTAAAATATGGAATCAACCCAGATGCTCTTCAATGGATTAATGCAAAAAGAAAATGTGGTATGAGTACATACATACATGTGTGTGCACACGTGCACAAAGGAATACTATTCAATCATAAAAAGAATGAAATTCTGTCATTTGCAGCAACACAGTGGAACTGGAAGTCATTATGTGACATGGAATAAGTCACACAGAGAAAGACAAACACCACATGTGCTCACTCAGTTATGGAACCCAATAGATCAATCCTGCAGAAGACAGAAGGGATTAGTGGTCACCAGAAGCAGGGTGGGAAGGGAAAAGGAGAAAGGCAGGTGGGGGGAAATGGGACACCAAAACTGAAGGCGAAAAGAGGAGTTACCTCTGGTTCTTCTCTAGTACAATAAGCCGACTGCTGATTAAAACCTCCTATGATATATTTCAAAATGGCTATAGAGTTTGAAACTCCCAACACATAAAAACAACTAATGCTTGAAGAGAAGGAAATGCTAATTACCCCGATTTGATTATTATATGTTGCATATATATACTGAATTACCATAATGCACCCCATAAAATGAACAAATATTATGTCACAATTTTTTTTTTAAATCACACGGGGATACAGTGGGAGGAAGAGTGTATTCCAGAAGTTTCTGCTCACCTTGACATGAATCTCCTAAACCAAACCAAGTTCAACCCCATCCCAGAACCACAGGAATGCCCAACCCCCTTCCCGCCCCTGAAGATGTACTGCCTGAGCCTAAGTGAGGGTCTACCCTTCCCTGACTCCTCTTCCTACACTTGAGATTCACAACATCTGGTCCAACCAGGAAGGTTTTTTGCAAGGCAAGGTGACTTTCAGGAGTGCAAACAGATGCTAGCCATGGCCAGTGGGTGTCAGGGGAGCCTGCTCCTCCACCCTAACTCTCAGGGATGCTTATGATCCATGTCATAGTTTAGATCTTGAATGTCGCTCAAACGCCCAAGTGTTAAAGGTTTGGCCTCAGAGTGGTGCTACTGGGAGGTGCAGAACCTTTGAGAGGCAGAGCATGGTGGGAAGAAGCAGGGTAGGGGCATGTCTTGACAGGGGACAATAGATTCCCCAGACCCTCTTTCTGTTTTCCTGGCTACCATGAGGTAAACAGTCCCCCACCACAGCCTCCCACCATGAGATCTGTGCTGTAACCACCCAGCAGCCACAGGGCCAGGCAACCAAGGATCAAAACCCCTGAAACTGTGAGCCAAAGTAAAACTTTCCTCCTTATAAGTCGATTGTCCCCAATATTTCTCATAGTGGCAGAGGCTAACACAATCCTCCTGCTGTCTCTCCTCCTTTCAACTTTTGGTCTTTTTCGAAGCCTCAAAGGCCCTAACTTGATCAAGAGTTTAGGAGTGCTACGACACAAAACTTCAGTGAGAAATTCAAGAACAGGAATGAAAGCAACAGAAGACCCTCAACAGCTCACAAACACGTTGCAGATATCCAACTCCATCTGGATTGCATGTTTCTCCACTAAACAAGGAAGGCGAGAGAAGACAAGCCCAGATTTATGGAATTCCATCAGAAGATGGACACTCAGCGAGAATTTTGTAGTATTAACAAAATTAAAGGAGACAGAGACAGAGAGGGGAACTCAAAGGGGCCAGTTGTACATGACATGGTAATAAGCTCCGAACAGGAATTCTCTTAGACAATTTTACCTTTTCATGATTTTCGATCAAGATTTCCACCACAATATTCTGAAACTTCAAATCCATGATGGCAGCAACAGTCTCTTCCTGCGGCCTCATCAGAGTTGGTCCAAACACCACTCCTAAATTTGCCACGGTCATTAGATTCTGCTTGGAGTGATTTGAAACACTAATATTGAAGAAAGGGAAAAAAAGATCTGTGTTTAATTACACAGCAATAACTGTAGAACATACAGCATTCTGTCACTCTACGTCTTCCTTAGAACAAGGTCTCCTGGGGCTCAAATCACCCTCAGGATCAGCTCTGAACAATTGAATCCAGGATCTGACCACACCCTACAGGCTGAGGCTCCTGCCTGCTCTTCTGCTTCTCTCTGGCTCTCCTGTAGTCACAATGGCTTTCTAAATAATTTTGTGTATATGCTAAGCTCATTTCCTCCAAAAATGTGGGAATCCCATCTTTCCCTACATTGGTACCTCCTTGTTTCTAGGGACTACTGGGCTACACGGCACCTTGGTGAAAATCAGCTTCATGAGCAGGCAGAGCGGGACCAGACATCCCTGCTCACTCTGGCAGCCTGGCATCATAGTGCAGTGAACAATATGGACAAATGTCCTCAGCAGTCCTGCTACTTTATTCAGGCCTCAAATCAAGGACTTCATTCTCAAATGAATGAATTCTTCTACATTAACCCTCTGTATAGTCTCACAATCAACATGTGTTCTCTCTTCCCTTAATCAATTATATGTTTATTGCCACTGATACCTGAAATAATTTTTTATTTTTATTGTTATGTTTGTCTATGCCCCTTAGAAAATTTTGTGAAGGTAGGGACTTCATCTGTCTTGCTCAACTGTGTATCTATTGGCACCTAAAAAAGCCATTCAATAAATATATATTAACCAAATAAATGAGTGGCTATACATCAAGACCTCAAGTGAGCCATAATATCCTCTGGCCTTCAGTTTTATTTATGTAAAATAAAAATTCTGAAACAGTGTTCCTCGCCTTCCTCTGTAAAATTTTACAGTTATAGTGATCTGAGCGTTATTTATATTTGGGGAAAAAAGGGCTAATCCTCCACTGATTTAGTGGATTTTGCTAGCTATTTAAAGAGTGTGAAAGAAAGAATGGACCCTATGAAATGACTCCCCATTACTGGATTAAACAAACTTAAGGACATGTTCAAACTCAGCTCAGGAGGCGTGAAACCAAACTAACATTGCTAACGGATTTATAATCCCATTTCCAGAATCTGTATATGGGCAATATATAGCATTCTCCTCTTTCATTTCAAATCAAACCCCGAGTTGCTGGCAATGCTGCTAAGCAAATAATTATACAACTCCACGAAGGCATTGGATTTCACCACGCTAGTCCAAAACACACAGAGGGAGTCCAGCGCCCAGCCTGCCCTTTCCAGGTGTGGTCCCTGGTATTGTGTATACAGCCCCGGCTCCACCCGGGCCAAATCCTAGCACAGGGCTGAGCATCCACAGCCGAGCACCCACAGCCAAGCAGAGAAAACTACAAGGAGGGCAAAGAGACTTACTTTGTTAAATGCTTCACCAAAATATCCAACATCTCTTTATTTTTCTCTGGTAGTTTGTGCACCAAGAAATGGATAGCATTAACTCGAGATTCCGGGCTGCCACTTTCTTTACAAAGAAAGAAAAGAACAGTTAATGGAGTACTTGGAATCAAATATATTCCCCAAACCAATAATTCTAACAGCTCATCTGTTCACAGCCTAAAAACAGATTTTCACTCTATTTTGCCACCTTGAAGAGGAAAAAGATCTATTTCCCGCTATCGTTAATCTGCGGATGCCCTCCTCTGACACACGCCCCGGGCCCATAAGGCGATTTCCCCGCAGCAGCAACCAGTGCCTTTTCTGGGTTTAAGAAGAAGAACAGGGAGCCTCTCCCACAGGCAGGCCGCATTTCCAGTCCTGGGGTGCAAGTCGAATACCAGCAACGAAGAGGTTCCCCGTTATGGGTTGAACTGCATCCCCCCAAAGATGCTGAAGCTCTGACCCTTAACACTTCAAGCGAGCCTCTCTGAAACTGAACTTGGGACTTATTTTAATCGGGTGTTTACACAGGCATGGAAACACGTGTATGCGTACAGAAGGTAAAAGTGTGGACTCACAGTGCCCTAGAGACTCGTGGCATGGCGAGCCACACACATGTCCACCCAGGGAAGCACCAGGGTGTGTGAGGAGGTGCAGGGAGAGGGGAGGTGCAGGGAAAAGCCGTGATGGAGATTCCTGCAGGAAGGAACTCAGCCAGGCGGTGCGAGCAGGCACAAGTCGGCTAGGTGAGATGACTTCACTGGGCTCTGGGGCAAAGGAGCTATCCCTACTTGTCTGGCACCTGGCCCTGTGGTGATGGGGGGTGTTTATTGTTACATTTTTTTTCAAACCCTGATACCTTTGTGTTCTTAATTTTTCTGATAAAAATTAAATATCTTCTCTGTAAAATTTTAGACAACAGAATACTGGCTTGCACAGAGAGAGCTCGCTGAAGGATGGATGGAAGGTGGAGGTTCTCATGCAAAAAGAGCGCTGGGGTTACCATCTCTAGGAAGGAGCTAGCGCTGGGACAGGTTATCTCCCAGGGCGATTTCCCATCGGGATTCCCAGGGTCACGATGCCCAGATTCCAAAATATCACAGATATTTAAAATAGTGGTCTTATCTGAAAATAGTCCTTAGAGAGATCAGTTAAGATGACATCATAATGGGGCACGGCAGGGTCCCTTAACTCAATAAAACCAGAGTCCTTATAAGAAAACAAAGAGGTGGGGTGGGGATGTGCCTCAGTGGTAGCATGCTTGCCTAGCATGTGTGAGGCACTGGGTTCAATTCTCAGCACCACATATAAATAATTTTAAAAAGGTCCACTGACAACTAAAAATATTAAAAGAAAACAAAGAAGGAAGATGGACAAGTGAGGAAGATGGTGGGGGTGCGGGGAACATCACTAACAGCAGAGCCCGTGATCAGAGTCGGCCTCTTCAAGCAGAGGCACACTGAGGGTGGCCAGGAAGGATCCTCCCCTCCAACCCCGAAAGGAGCAAATCTTGATTCCGATTTTTAGTCCCCAGTATTGCAACAGAATAAATTGCTGTTTAAGCCACTTAGCTTGTGGTACTTCGGCGACAGCAGCCCTGGGAAACCAACATATTCCCTTTACCCCTTGAACTGGAGAATTACCTGTGGCTCTGATTAACACTGTACCCAATTAACTTTATTATGTAGCTGCTTGGGAAATTATCAAACAAATCAAGACAAGGCTCGTTACTGAAGAATACGCTAGAGTTTTCAGGAGTGGCAAAGAGGAGATAGAAAGGAATTAGGGAATCTGTTTATTGTTACTTTTTTTTTTCCCCCAAACCCTGATACCTTTGTGCTTTTAATTTTTCTGATAAAAATTAAATATATTCTCTGTAAAATTTTAGACAACAGAAAATAAAGACAACTAAAAATCACTGAAACTCCAATATATAAGAAATAATGCAAGATCAGACTATTAAAAAAAAAAAACAAAAAAAAAACCTTGTACAAATCAACCAGAAGGGAGGGGGGAAAATCCCAAAATAAAAACAAGCAAAGGACCAGAGCAGGGATTTTCAAAGATTTATGTTATGATTACCTATGAAAATAGACTCAACCTCTATGAGACACACAGAAATTAAATCCACAACAAGAGACTGACACTCACCCTCCAGAAGAGATTTGAGTACCAAGTGGGACCTGAGGCGACCCAAACTTTCATATACTCACTAGCTGTGGCTTTGGCCCCTGGTGCTGGGGCTAGAACCCAGGGCTTGCACAGGCTAAACCAGCTCTCCTACACCGAGCGACACACACCAGCTGTAGAGAGGAATAATTTACAACCACTCCGGAGACGTGGCTGGCAGATCTGCTAAAGCTGAACAAACATATACCCTAAGATCCAAGAATTCCACTCATAGATATACAACCCGGAGACATGCACACAAGTGTTCAATAAAAGGCACACGCTAGAATATTCGTAGCCGCACTCTTTGTGATAGCCCCAAAGTGGAAATGACCCAGATGTCCATTAAAAGTAGAACTGATCGATATATTGTGCTATGTCCTTACCAGGGAATGGACCAAGAATGCTCTGCTTCTCTCACAATGTGGATGAAGCCCACGAGATGAGTCCAAAAAGTCAGACGTATCAGAATGTGTTTCCATCAGATTCCAGATATGCAAAGTGCTAATGCAGCAACCCAAGGTGTCTGTAGTCAAAGGACAGCCACACCTCATAAGGTGGACAGTGACCACATGGGTAGGAGAAGGGCTTCTGAGGTCCTGATCATGTTTGATTTCTTGACCTGTAAGCTGCTCACAGGGGCACCTTCCCTTGGTGAAAATTCACTGGCAGTGTGTTTCTTTGTGCACACTGATGTTATGTTTCAACACGTCAAGTTCACTTGAATTCAAGTTCCCCATAATAGATCTCATTGTAAAATGAGCTGGTGGGTTTTAGGTCTAATCCTCTCAGAGTTTTCCTCCCTTTACTTGGAATGAAATGTTTGAACAGCCTATTTCATTTAACAGAGCATGGACGACTTTCCATGTCATAAAACTGAGAGCCACACGGTCAATCTTATGAAATGCACATTGCTTCCAACGTTGGTAAAGTTAACTCTGCCCAGTTTACACTCCCAGTAACACTGCTGGAGAGTGAAGAATGGGATTTACAAGAAGACACCGAGACAGTCGTCTCTAAAAGCAAAGGAACAAAAAGGCTAAAGCTAAAAAGCATGGTTGGGATGAGGCAGAACAGGAATCATCAAGTCGTATTACCTAACAACAAAAAAAAAAGCTTTTACAGAGACTAAAATTATCACTGAAAACAAAAGCACAACTGTCTCAAGAGTTAGGTGATAAATTACAACCCAGTTCTAAATCTAGAGTTAAAACCAAGAAACCAACTTAAAACCTCATCAGTGTTGGAAAAAACAAAAACATAACAATTTCAATTCAGTTTTGATCTTCAAAAAATAAAATCCAAGTATAAACTCCACAAAACAGCCAAGAATTCCAAGGGAATAAAGGAAAATCAACAAGGATAAGAATTTTGTATTTCAAAACTTAAAAAATTTTTGAAAAGTTTGTATACTAAAATGCTACTTTTAACTCAGAAGATAAAAAAATAAGTCTGTTTCTTGACATTAATATCATTTTTTCCCAGTGAAAATCTAGTTTTAATATGTTAGCATTACTTACTCAAACACAAGCTAGAGAAATAGTTTTCCACCCTCTAGGGATAAGTTTCTTCATTTCTAAAAATAGAATTCCTTCTGAAAAACAGTCAAAACTTCCACTTTCTTCCCCGAGTCCCTCTCCCACTAGCCCATCCCATCTCTTCTGCAATCACACTTGAATTTTTTTTCCCAAGTTTGCTTTTTCCTCTTCTTTAAAAAAAAAAATTCAATAAAGCTTTTAAAATAAAACTATTTGTTCTCTATATCATTTTATTTTGGTATTAATCAGAGCTTTGTATTAACATACATTTCTATATGACTATAGAATAATTTTAAGGTTTCCAAAAAATTTTCTTCTTCTAATATTAGTTGTCATCAGTTGCTTAAACTACATATATATTCAATTGGTACTAGTTGACAAAGAATAAAAGGCATAACTTCTTTTTTTTTAAAAAAATTGGTATACCTGGTTAATCACACACCAGATTCTTGAAATATGCCAGGGAATTAGGAGTTTACTATAATAGAAAAAAAGGCGTTTTAATTGTGAAACTACACATCAGCATCCATCACGTTTTAGTGTCTATTTGCTTATGGTGCTGTGGCAATGAGACCAAAAAGAACAATCAACTTACCGGAGCTTATCAAAGACACAAGGTAAGTAAATGTTATTTTAATATTTAAACACCATACATCAATACTACTATAATTTAAGAAAAGCATTAGCAAAACCACCCCCAGCACTTTCCAAGGGACTAGTGGGCTTTAGACAACAGACATCCAGTGCTCTAATTCTTCTATGGGTTCCCCTTCTACTGTGACATAAATACACCAGATTGAGGGATGTCAACACCCCCCAAAAGTCAATTACTTTAATTTCCAGGCTTCCGAATCCTTCCCTACCTAGAGCCCACATGACCCCATCTTACTGGTAAACCTGCATGGGGAGCAAGGATAGAAATTCTGGTTGAGCAAAAGCCTATGTACTGGATCCTACAATAGTCATGTTTCTTGTCAGAAATGGCCCTAAGAACTTTGTGATTATGATTATGCTTCCCAGCTAACTTGACTACAGTAAGAAAACGTACTGAACACAGCAACACAAGCACTCTAGTTTAGAGACAGTTCAGAAATTATTCCTATAATCCAACATCAGCTACCCAGGCTTCAGCTGTCATTTTTGTGCTAATTAAATGTTGGATCCAACCCAGAAGCATGGGTCCATCCATGCTTATCAAAATGACGTGTGAAGGACTCTATGCCTTCAGACCAAGAGTTACAACATTCTCAAAGGTAATAAGCATCATGCAGTAAGACATCCAGGCAGATGTCTGCTGCCTTCCAAGGGTGGACACAAGTTTTTGATTTTCTGCACTTTTGTCTTGTGAATTTCTATACCAAAACCTCAGGACAGTATCTCGCAAGATGGATGGATGTCTCTACTTCCTTTAAGCAATCTCAATGAACTCAACTACTAGTTCAACTCTTTGAATCTTTTTAAAGGAAAAAAAGTTGACTTCCAATGCATTTAATATTGAATCATGGGTTGACTTTTCTTAGAACAAGATACAAAATACTTGGCCTTTTGTGATGACGACACAGATCATAGTTTTCTATGATGACCTTGTAGATTTAACTCAGAGGTTCTCAACAGAAAACCATAAGAAAGAAAGAGACATGAGAAAAGGAAGGGACCCAGGAGAAACCTTCAGAACTCACAGCAGGCAGAGAGAAGAGAGATCTCAACACCACAGAACAGATGGAAAACAGCTCACATGACTGAAAAGAATCAAAAATTAGTTTCCATGCTGGTGTGAGAGGCGGTAACAAAGACTGGTAATGTCGGTAATTTTAGCAATCAGCTCAGTTAACAGACATTTTAGCATAACAAGGTAAGCTGTGCCATCCTTAATGGAAAATGATAGCATAACCACAATTCCAATTCTCCAACAATATTCAAAGGGGGAGACTAATTTTGGCCATCTGATTTCTGTAACTGTTTTATTCAATACTTGGAAGTACACATGCAAAAGATTAGAGATCTGCTCCTTCACTCCTAAGAGACACTGAATACAGAGGAGGGTTCTCGAAGATGAAAATAAAGCAGTGCCCTGGAAACATTGAACCCTAAAAGAAACCCATTTAGTACATGTGCTTTTTCTCACTAAATAAAGTTACTACAGGTCCTGTTCCAACCACGACTGCACTTAGGTGCAAATCCATGCCAATAACCACAGTAGCTCCAGTATGCCTTTGCGACAGTCCTGTGATTCAAATCATCATGAAGGCTCTTACAGCCTTGCCACAAATGGGAAACCAAGCAGATGGACATCTAGCAGATGATGAGGCCTTCTGCATCCACACAATTCTTCGCACCTCGTAGTTCAAATATGCCTTCATCATCTTCTACCACCATGGTCCTCAATACCTTGTTAAAATAAAAAAGTTCCTCAGAGGTAGGAACTTTCTCATCTGGCAAAATCTGACATCAGAATTTCCAACACGCTGCGTCAGGCTATGGGCAGGATAATACTCCTGACACTCACTTGTGGCAATTTAGACCTTTATTCCATAATCACTTTATCTTTCCCCAAATCTCAAAGGATTTGAGATGAAAGCTGGCACTCTTGTGCTTTTTCCAGTCTCTAAGGCGAACAACATGAAATGATTGTCCTCTAACTAAGTTTAATTTCTCTTTTCCTAGTTTGCCAAAAATGCCACAGGGAAGAAATCAAAATAACTAAGCATTTGCTTGAGTTTTTGCCAAGAAAATTTCCCCCTCTTCCTTGATCACACAAATTTTGGGGCGGGGGGGGGATCTCCTTCCATGTGAAAACAAAGCTGAATCGAACCACATTTTTGCCTTTTCCAAAAGCCTATTGCACATGTGTAGTCTAATGGAGCCTACACATTGCTTCTTTCTGCAACGTACTAGGAACCTTTGCATTGGCTGGAGCCGAGACCTCACAAGAAGATAACATTTAAAGCCATGTTCGGGCAGTGGTAACATGGGACCCAAAGGGATTGCTCTAAGTTTTTCAACAGATTAAACTATGGAAAACATCCAAAGGGAAAAAAAAAAAATAAAAGGAAATGAAAATACAATTTCAGCTACTGTCAGTGCACCTGTGAAAACCAATACTGCAAAGTTTAGCCAGTGGAACTGGGGGTTTGAATTTTAAATAGTTTCCTATAATCTGGCAAAGTCACTTCGCATGCCTCCATCTTCATTTCCTTAACTATTAAATACCTACCACCAGCACACTTCAGAAGAGGAGGATAATGAAACAGTGCCAAATATAAAAAGTAGGCTATGTGATAACAGAAAACCAGAGAGCCCCGGGTGTCTGACTCACAAAATAAATTTGATCACAAATTAAAATTCCACCAACTACAGACCTTTCTCATTTAACATTTTATCACATATAATTCACTCCCAAACACTGCTTGGGCTTCTGGCATTTTCTCATAATATTCTTTCTGTCTGTAATTTCCATCAAAATATCTAAGTGATGCCATCTCCCACCCACTAATCCCTCTGACCTCCCACAGGTTAAACACTTTTATGTTTCCACAGAATTTCATGCCATTATCCTGTAATTCATGGTAGAATGAGAGAGGTAGAGGCCCTAGGACTTGCTACAGAAGTGGCTCCTGGGGTTAAGAATTCTGTCATGGCTCTATATACCCAGACTCTGCCAGTATCTACCAGTGACTAACACACAATGAGCAATAATCAATGTCCAGGAATGAATGAATGAATGAATAAGATCATAGTCCTCTTTTTTACTTTCTTGCCAAAGGGGGGAGGGACAATCATTATTTAAAATGATTTTTTAGCACAGGCCTCAATAACATTAATTTTTCACGATTAGCTTCAATTTAATCAAGTTCAATTTTTTAGTCTGTAGAAACTATCAACCCCAAAACTATGTCTCTGTACCCTACAAATTACTTACTGGCTGGAACAATGAAATCTCCATGTAACTCATAGGTCATGAGCGGTTCGGGAAGACTCCTGTATGAAAAAGAGTGCATAATTACCAAACAAATCCAAACAAGTCACCTGCCAGTTTATTTTTTTTTATAAAAAAAGTGTTAAATCTGTTGCGCATTTCTTAGCTATCATACAAAACTTCCTTAGGGAATACCTTTACATATCAAAAAGATATATAAATCAAATGAAGCACTTTATTAACTCCTATTTGAACTAGGCTATCAAAGCTTAAGCAACCACAAATCGCTAAAAGGCCTAAGCACATAGCACTTCATCTCTAACCTTAGAAAGTATCTTTAGGAACATCTGGTTTTATATTTGACTTCTTTTCACACACTAACATATTAAAAGTCAAACACTTTCTAACCAAATGTAAGCATATAATTTGAAAAATCATCTTTAAGACAGTAGCCAATGATACCACGCACACACACACAAATACATAGAAAAGAACTGGGATGCAGCTCTGTGATAGAGCACTTGCCTAGCATTCATGAGTCCCTGGGTTCAAACCCCAGCACAACAACAACAAAAAAAATATTTTAAAATTACACAGAAAATATCAAATAAACCAAATCCTCTTCTCTCTCAAGTATCTCCATTTTTTAAAAAAATCAGGATTTTTGAAAAATCACTATGCCTATGTAATAATGAAAGAGAATTATGAAATAAGGTTAGTGACTTTGTAGTTTATGCCTATAAAATTAAACTGATGACAACTTTAAAAATATACACATTTTAATTTTTTAAAAAAACAAATTAAATGGTAGTATATTCTATCCCATGATCAATAGAATGCTACAGTTCACTCGACCTGCTAATGTCTTAAATTTTATAATATCAACTTTATGAAAAGTCAAGGAATTCTTCAACAAGCATCAATCTGCATCGTTGTTCTGCAGGGCAATCTGGCAAGACATTAAGAACTTCAGAAAGATTGAAATCCTATAACCCAAAAATTCCTATTCAAATATTTTAAAAGAAAATCAAAGATGCACAGATGCACACACAAAAAATTTAAACATAGGCAAAAGCCAAGAATATTGCCAAGGATAAAGGTCATTTCACATTGATAAAAAGGTCAACTCATCAAGATGCTCCAACAAAGCTAAATGTTCATGGATCAAACAGCTCAACATACATCATGCAAAAACTGACAGAACTGCAATACAGATGACTCCACCACCACAGTCAGAGGCTCCAAAACTCCTCTGTCTCAATAAGTGCTAGAACAAGCAGACAGAAAATCAGTCAGCATACACAGCCATCACCAACCTGAAGCATCAGCACGCCCTTCACCTAAATGACACTGCACCCAAGAGGGACACACACACCCAATGCACATGGATTATTCATTCGCCAAGATAAACCAAATTCTGGTCCATGAATCAATAAGTTTAAAGTATTCAATTCAGGCAAAGCATGTTCTTTCGTGGAAATAAAAACTGAATTTACAAAATCAGTAACAAGAAGAGCTGAAAAACATCAAAGAAAGGGAGATTTGAAAGTATTTTGAACTAAATTAAAATACAGTCTATCAGAATCTTAGGGATGTCGATTAAGCTGTACTTTGGAGCACATGTATACTGTTAAACATCTACATTAGAAAAGATGACCTTAAACCAACGACTTTACTTTCTATCTGAAAGCAAGGGAGGAAAAAATGAATTAAAACCAAAGTAAGAATAAAAATAATATTGACCAAAAAGAAAATCAGTGAAAACCAAAAATAGAGATCTTAATCCAAAACCAGTTACTTAAGATGATCAATAAAATTGATAAATCTAACCCAAGTGACTAGAAAATAGAGAAAATATGAATAGCCAATGTCAAAAAGAATGGTTAGCCTCTTCAACAAATGGTGCTGGGAAAACTGGAAATTCATAGGCAAAAAAAAAAAAAAACGAAACGAAATGAAATTCCTATCTCTCACCATGCACAAAACTCAACTCTCAGTGGATCAAAGACCTAGGAATTAAACCAGACACCCTGCATCTAACAGAAGAAAAAGTAGGCCCCAATGTCCATCATATCAGATTAGGCCCCTACTTCCTTAATAAGACTCCTATAGTGCAAGAATTCAGATCAATAATTAATAAATGGGAGGGATTCAAACTAAAAAGCTTCTTCTCAGCAAAAGAAACAATCAATGAGGTGAATAGAGGGCCTACAGGTTGGGAGTAAATTTTTACCACTTGCACATCAGCTAGATTATTCATCTTCAGGGTATATAAAGAAAGAGCTCAAAAAATCTAAACACCAAAAAAACAAATAACCCAACTAATAAATGGGCCAAGGAACTGAACAGACACTTCTCAGAAAAGAATATACAATCAATCAAAATATATGAAAAAATGTTCAACATCTTAGCAATTAGAGAAATGCAAATTAAAACTACTCTAAGATTTCATCTCACGCCAGTCAGAATGGCAGCTATTAATACAAACCAATAAGTGTTGGCGAGGATGTGGAGGAAAAGGCACACTCATACATTGCTAGTGGGAGTGCAAAATGGTGCAGCCAATATAGAAAGCAGTATGGAGATTCCTTGGAAAACTGGGAATGGAACCACCTTTTGAACCAGCTATCCCACTCCTCAGTCTATGCCCAAAGACTTAAACAGCATTCTACAGGGACACAGCCACGTCAATGTTTATAGCAGCACAATTCACAATAGCTAAACTGTGAACCAACCTAGATGCCCTTCAGAAGATGAATGGATAAAGAAAATGATCTATATACACAATGGAATATTACTCAGCAATAAAAGATAATAAAATCATGGCATCTGCAAGTAAATGGATGGAGTTAGGGAATATAATGCTAAGTGAAGTTAGCCAATCCCCAAAAAAACAAATGACGAATGTTTTCTCTGATATAAGGAGGCTGATTCATAGTGGGGTTGGAAGGGGGAACAAGGGAGGAATAGATGAACTCTAGATAGGGCAAAGGGGTGGGAGGGGAAGGGAACAGGCATGAGGGTAGAAATGAGAGTGGAATGAGATGGGCATCATTACCCTAAGTACATGTATAAAGACATGAGTGGTGTGAATATACTTTGTATACAACCAGAGGTATGAAAAATTGTGCTCTACATATGTAATATGAATTATAATGCATTCTGCTGTCATATATAACAAATTAGAATAAAAAAAGAATTCAGTGGACATTAGGGATACAAGGGGGATGACCATAAACCTGCAGTTCTATCACATTATATGACACATCAGACTACTGGTTACTATCTTAAAGGAGCTTTGAATTTAATAAAATATCCAATTTACATATGCTGTCATAGGTCTGCATTTATAAATATGCTGTTCCACATTCATTTTCAGATTGAGAAACTGCAAACCTAATGGACTCAGATTCTTGACATTCCACATCCTTTCACCCAGGGTGAAAGGGTTACTTTAACAATCAATGGCTTTAAAAAAAAAAAAAATGGCTCAGTCATAAAGAAAAAAAAAAAAAAGAATGGTTACTGCAGAATCACCAAAGGTTGTAACAATATTAAAGAGAAAACAGGGAATATTATAAATGGTTTCATGTCCATACATGCAGCAATTTACACAAAATAGACAAATGTCTGAAAAGCTGGAAACTACCAAAGCTTAGTTAAGATAAAAGATAACCTTAGTAATCCTATACTTGTTAATCCTAGAACTATCAGAAAAATTAAATTTGTAGTTAAAAATCTAGTCTGTAAGAAAACTCAGACCCAGATGACTTTGTTGGTGAATTCGGTGAATTCTATCAAACAATTATGGAAGAAACAATTTCAGTTTTATTTATATTTTTTTCAGAAAGTATCAGTACGTATGTATGTATGTGTGTGTATATATGTATTTCCTTCCAGAAAATATAATACTTACTCTTATTCTGTGAGGGAAAATATCAAAACTGAAAACATTTCAAGAAAATGACAGAAAAGTACCACTAACAAACATAGAGGTAACTTTAAATGTTAGTAAATTAAATTCAACAAGATACATAAAAGGATAAAAGATCACAACCCAGCTGGCTTTCTGACTGACCTACCACTTTGGAAAAAAAAAAAAAAAAAATCAATGCAATTCACCATACCAGCAAACTAAAAAAAGAGGGGAAAAAGCCGGTATGATCATCACAGTAGACAACAAATTGGGGTAAAAGGACCGTCTTTCCCACAAATCATAATGCAAACACTGAACATCCATATGCAAAAGTGAATTTGACTCCATTCCTCATATCTTTCACAAAACTTAAAATAGATCATAAATCTCAGTGGAAAACCTAAAAACAATAACATTTCTTTAATATAAAAGATAGCCTTTATGACTTTATGTTAAGCCAAGATTTCTTGATATCACCAACAGCATAGTCCAAAAAAAGGAACAAATTGACAAACTGGACTTTATCAAAGTTAATAACTTCTCATTGAATGACACTATTAAAAAAAATGAAAAGACAACCTACGTAACAAAAATGTTTAACATTAATAGTCACTGGGGAAGTTCACATTAAAAGCACAATGAGCTATCACATACCTATTAAATCAGCTAAAACTTAAAAAAATAAAATAAAACAACAACAACAACAACAATGACCATAGCAAGATTTGACAAGGATATAGAAGAAGCAGGACTCCTGTATACTACTGTAGGTGGGAGTATAAATGAATCAAATTTGAACAAATTTTGTCAATTTCCCAAAAAGTTAATCATGATCTAGATATTCCACTCTGGGATTTATCCATAAGAAATGAAAGTGCAGACGGGCATAGTGGATCACACTTGTCATCCCAGTAACTCAGGAGGCTGAGGCAGGAGGATCACGAGTTCAAAGACAGCCTCGGCAATTTAGCAAGGCCCTAAACAACTTACTGAGACCTTGTCTTTAAATAATAAAAATAGAAAGGGCTGGTGATGTGGCTCAGTGGTCAAGCACCCCTGGCTTCAATCCTTAGTACCCGCCCCCCTCCCCAAAAAAGTGCATGTCCCTCTGAAGATTTACCCATAAATGCTTTTAGCAGCTCTAGGTACAATAGTCAAAAGCTACAAACAACTCAAATATCTATCAACAGATCAAAGGATTAAAAAGAAAAAAAAATGTGGTACATCCATCCAATAGATCAGTAGTTAGCAGTCAAAAGGCATAAACTACTAGAATATACTACAACATAGGTGAATCTCTACTTCTTCTAAGTGAAAGAATCTAGATTTTTTTTCCTAAAACATATGCTATATAGCTTATTTATACATAATTATAAGAACTCCAACTTAACACATAATGAAATAAAGCAGAAAACAGTTACCTAAAGGTCAGGCCTGAGAAGGGAGGGGTGCAAAGAAAGGAGGCATTTCCAAAGACTGTTTATCTTGATTATGGTGACGGTTTCACAGGCGTATAAATACATCAGTCTTATTGAAATGTATATTATAAATATGGAGAGCTCATTATATTTCAATTACACAATAAAGCTGTTTAGCTGATTATGTCAATTGCACTATAATAAAGGTAAAAAAAAATGAATGCAAAAAAACTGTTACAAGTATGTTCCTTACCCACAGCTTAGGATACTTCGGTACACATACGTATACAAAATGACAACCATAAACAAATTAAAACTTCCCTTATTTCTGCTCTCCTTCCTCTTCTTCCCCTACACTCCCATTTAAAAAAGAAAAAAGAAATCAAACACATCACAGCCTAAATCCAGAGAAAGAAACCCTAACTAGAAGTCAACCTTTGGGGTTTTTGTTTCTTTAAGGACAAGCAGAAAGAGCAAAGGAGGAAAATGGTTATCCAGCAGGGAAGGAAAACAGAGGGTGCATAATTGAAAAGAGGGAAGAATAAAAACACCGAGAAAAAACAGAGAGCATTTCTTCTCCAATAAAATGAGTTTGTGCCTAAGCATCCTCTATAAGCTACTTATATCATTGCCATATGTCTATAGCTAGGCAATGCGGCATAAAAAATAAATACTGTTAATGTTAGGGAAGCAGTAATAAAAATGACAAGCTCCCCATACAGACTTTATTACACTGAGTCACTGCATCTCTCAGCCTCCCACCCAACATGTTTTCAAGCCACCTCTCTTTACCACCCATTGGGATCTGCTGGGAAATACAAATCATAATATTTACCTAAGCTGGCATTTCCTTCCCCAAAAATCCCATTCCAATTTCCAAACTTAAAAGAAGTTTCCTCCAGGTAAAATCATTTTACTAGAAACATCACAAAACAGATCATTTGTCACCCCACAATGGGAAACGGTTGTGATGAACATGTTGCAGGAACTCAAAATTATGGTCTGCATAGATAAGAAATCATTCCGAGGGCTTGAATTCAGCTCTCCAAAGCATGGGAGTAAAATTGTTGCCTCAAGTCAGGAGAAGAAGGAAGATGCCATGTGTAAGGCCACCGCCATCTTTCTTTCTCCAAGACCCTGAGGGCTTTGCTTCCTATTGTAGTTTGCTTCCTCCACTTCCAGCCTCCCATCCAGTAATGGCTCAGTTATTTGCCAGGAAAAGAATTTAAGGCAAGGCAAGACTTTGGTCTTTTTGTTGTTCTTGTTTCTTGGTGAGAAAAATCTGTATTTCAGCTCTTACTGTGAAAGACAGAGCTGAGATTCCAACCTGGTGACTGGGTGGCTCCAGACCTCATGCCCTTGACCATTGCATTACACTTCTCTATCATAATGAGGGAAATACATTTGCTTTGGACATAACCATGTAGCCAACGTGGAATTAGGTAACAACTCAGTTTTCTTCCATTTGGTCCATCACCAGAAAAAGTGTCAATTAAATCCTAATTACTGCATTTTCAGTTGCTAAAAATAACATAGGGGAAAAGAACAGCAACCTAACTTTCGAATCTCCCAAGGCATCTGCCATCTTATGATAATCACTTCATCACATTCAGGCAGAATGTGTATATTGTTAGGAGTGAAATTATATAATAATAGCATCTCATAATTTCGTTCCGTAGGCAATGTTTGCTTCAAAGTGGAATGCAATATGATGGAGCAACATAATGAGAGAAAAAATGCAGAAAAAGCAACAAAGACCAAGGGCAATTAGGAACTAGCTTTAGAGAACATCAAGATCCAAAAGAGGGACTAGGGATGTGGTTTAGTGGTAGAGCACTTACCTAGCATGCACAAAGTTCTGGGTTCAATTCCCAGCTCAAAAAAAAAAAAAATTGCACATAAAGAATAAGATTCTCTGGTTTTGAGGCTAATTTTCCACAAAGAAAAAGAACAATGTATATCAGAAGCAAAAAGCACACAGTTTACTAAGAAAGAATTAAGTTTTACCCTTAGTTTTCCACCAATAACTCAGTCATCTTGATCCATTCCCTTACCATCTGTTAGAGTGGTAGAATCCTCTGCTAGTCAAGTTAACATATGCAATTTGTAATATTTTTATACCCTCATCCATTCTTTCTTTCAACCACCTAATATGGGCTTTCTCAACTCCATTGTTTTGCATCAAGTAATTCTGCAGGGAAGGCTCAGCTGCCCTGTGCACTATCGGGTATTTAGCAGCCCAGCCCAGCCCTCCATTCATTAGATTACAGCAGCACCCTCTCCAGCGGTCACGAAACCAAAAATGTCTGCAGATATTTCCAAACATCACCAGGGGGGCAAAATCACCCCGGTTCTGCACCATTTCTCTAAATACTCAATGACAGGCATACCTCCAGTTGTTAAAAATATTGCAATGCATGGGACATATAAGACGCCAGTCTGCAGAGCGCTTACATGCTAATCCTAGAGAAGGACTGATGAGATTCATTTTAATCCTCCTCTAAACCACAGTCACTACCAGTGGCAATCTAGATGATCAGTACATGGATTCAGCCTTCCTTCTGCCCCTTTATTGACTCACTGAAGAAAAAAATGTTAAGGGTGGCTAAAAACATCTGCAAAAGAAGTATCTGAAAACAGGTAATGCACACGTGAGCCCACTGAAAAATGTTAATGATGTAAAGAGAAGAACAACCAGACAACATAGGTTGCCTGATGCAATCCAACAGGAAGAATACAGCTGCACTCTGATACTCTTGAAATATATAAATAAAAACCCAATCTGAACCCAACAAAGACTATAGATTTAACTATTTGCAGAAAATATAGTGGCTAGAGAATCATGTTAAATGACCTCATGCCATATCTAAAATGCAGAAAATTATACTTTAAAAACCCAGCCAGTTTCTTCAACAAATAAATGCCGGTGGTTGAGAGGGAAAGAACTGTACAGATTAAGAGAGACTTAAAACTTATCAAGCACATAGACTGTCGATACCGTTTAAAACCTGTGGGATTTAAACCAAATACAAAAAGACTTTTAAATTTTTTTTTTTGGTTGGGGGAGAGACTTTTCTCACTTTAGTGAAAACTGAATAAGGACTGAATACTGGATGATATTAATTTTGTTGGATATCATAATTAGCTTCTGATTGTCAAGTCTGTCTTTTTTGAAATATATACTCAAGTATTTACAGATACAGCAATATAGTTTTTGGAAAATCTTTATAAAGTATCATCCCCAAAAAGTAGCAGGCAGGGAGATAAATGAATCATCGAGAAGAACGAAATACTAAGGTGATGAACTGTAATAGGGCCATGAGGATTCATTACACTGATCTCTCTGGCCTTTCATATTTGAAGTTTTTCATAATTTGTTAAATGCACAATGTGTAACTTAAGTAGATTCTAATGTGCTGGTTGGAACCCAAGTAATTAAAAAAGCACCTTATAGGGCTGGGGTTGTGGCTCAGTGGTAGAGCACTTGCCTAGCACATGTGAGGCACTGGGTTCAATCCTCAGCACCACATAAAAATAAATAAAAGTATTGTGTACATCTACAACAAAAAAAAATATTTTTTAAAAAAAGCACCCTATACATGGTTCATAACAGCTGACCCTGGGAAAGCTCTGCCCTTTTGGTGGGGTGGGTCAGGAGGAGGGAGTTGTGTGCGTATAAAAACCCAAGTCCCTAACAGAATCATAACACAGGAATTAACAGTTGTGATGTTTTTCCCATTCTTCAATTTTGTACTTCCTATTTTTATTCTTCATCAAACCAAACTTTTATGCCTGAATTCCTTCCTTTTTAGAAAAAGTTTGCTACTCGTTAAAATGCTGAACTCTTTTCTTAACTCCAGTCCCATTCCATATTTCCTATAATAAATGAAAATTCTAAATTTACATTAAAATCCCAAGTAAAGTTTTCAAACAGCTTTGTAATTAACTGTTATAAAATTCTGTTGAAATATTTGAATTTTCAGAATTTTAAATATTAGCTTAAAACAATTAAGAGAGTCAGTGAATTCAACAAGTAGTCTTCCTTACTGAATCCTCGTTGTTTCATAGTGTTTATTCCTAAAACTCACATCAACAATAGATATCTATTTTAAGACCAAAGGCTATTCTGTTTTAGCCGATTGGACAACTGATGTCCACCTACTATCTACCTTACCTTCTGGAACATTATTAGCTCAATGCTTTCCTTTTTAATAACTATTGGTATCTATGTGCAGAGTAGGCACCTGCTTTATGTTACAATACTCCTTGCTCACTCTTTCCTCCTATTACTGAGAGGACCTTACCTTAGATACTGTTTCAGGGCACTTGTTATTGTCTTCACTTCCCAGTCTATGGAATTCTCCAGGTCCAGCTCACTGCATGTTTTTACATCTAGTGAACAAGCAAGAAAGAAAAGTTCATTAAAACCTGGAACATGCAGAAGCCATCCTGACAAACTCACAGAAGCTTCCATTTTTAAAATGCTGAATCCATTTAATTAACAAATAATTAATCCTGTGGTTTCCCTACCAAAACAACATTACATGCAATTTCTTTATGATACTATCAGTCATGTTCTGTTACTAGGCTTATATAGCACTTCAGAAAATCTGTAGTAGAGATCAAAGCAAAGGGGTAAGTTTGAGGCCAAAGTATGGAAGAATGAAGACATGGTATGGCATTTCAACATCTCTAACTGGTATCGTTCATGTACAACTCACAGCATCATCAACACCTCCTTCATGTTAAAGCAGCCATGGCTTAAAGCATGTGGCTTTTCCAGTTCAATGAGTGGGTTAAGTCACCGCAGGTAGCACAACTGCTATGAGATGTTATTACAAGAGGAAGAGGTGGCACCTCTTACTAACAGCAAACCTTTAGAATGGCAACAAGCTGGGGTAAAGAATAAGCTTGAGCCCATGTTTCAAGACTTGTATTCATTACATTATTGTTCTAAAGATTAACACAGGATCGACCAAAACAGAAATATGACGACATGCAGACTTAAAAAGTCATTGAAGTTTTACCCGATTTAAACAATGCACAATGTGTACATGTATCAAAATATACTATCCTATTAATATGTCTAATTTTTATGTATCTGTCAAAAAATAAATTTGATTTGTAAAACAAAAGCTATATAAGAAGAGAGAGTCATTTAGGGGTTCTCTTCCACACTGATATTACAATGACACACTTATCCTGGAAAAATTGATTGGATGATTCCGTAATACCTCTAACATTCACTCCAAATGAAACTAGTTTTCTTTGTTCTAAAAGTGTTATTGATGTGCTGCTTCCCAGTGCCCTTTTAAATAGCTACTAAGTTCTAAGGCAAAAGTGTGTGGTACAAAAAAAGAAAAAGAGTAGAAAAAGTTGATTCTGGTTGAAGTAAAATGACAACACGGTTAGAAAAGCAAATTCTCTCAGTTGGTGGCATCTTTGCTATTTGTACCCCATGCACCAGCACACTCCACGTGGCTGGTAGTGCACAGCAGGGCAGTATGGGTATCCCTAACCATCTTCAGTACCTGCATCAACCTATGCCAGAGAGCGACTCAGAACAAGGGAGTCCCAACTCATCTGGGCTTCAGGTCTTCGCCTGCACCATGGAGACCATGTATATGCTCTCATAGAACTAGTGAGTACATCAAACAAGGCAGGAACATAGGCCAATTTTCATAAATTATTACATGTAGCAGATCACCATCACGGCAAAGTGGCTAAAAAGCCTAAGGGTTCAGTGGTGGCACCCCCCAAAGGAAGGAATGGATAAGAATGGTAGCAAGTCATCAACGGAAACTTGCCTGGCTTTCTACATTCCTATCGTGTGAAGAAAAATAAATAAAAGATTCATGGAAGAGACCCTTTCTCCCTCACTCCAGAATGACGTCCCAACCAAGATTAAAACAAAACAAAAACAAAACAAAACAAAAAAACACCCACTGGTTGCTTCAGGGTTATTTTTTTTTCTTTTTCTTCCTTACATTGTATTTGTTTTATTTGTCTACATAGAGAAGAAAACATCTTGTTAGTATTTTCTTTCTTAAAGCACAAAAATAGAACAGGCTGTCAAAATGTGACCAGCATGCAAAGTCACGCATGTTGCCTAAAAACTCTTTAAGCTCAGGCATGACAAAGAATGGATGACAACTCAATGTTGGACTCAAACTTTTTGAAAATAAAGTGAAACGGGAAGTGATGGTTGTTTCACAGCCATAACATCATACATACAAAGTCAATTACTCAAAGGTCTGGAGACTTTTTAAAGCACTTCAACATTTCTTGATTACAACGACTGACAGCCCTATGCAATAAACTACAACAATGGCAATTGACACTGATTACATTTTGATCAGTTCCTACAATTCAGAACTCATTTGTTACCGAGCTTGTCAGACAAGCCACAGATACATTCAAGAAATCAAATTAAGAACCCTGATTAAAGATGCAATCCTTTATAACAAGGACTAAATAATTCTGTTCTAAAGGCTTTGCCAACCAATTACTTCTGTAACTGAATATTCTGTCTCTCATTAAATCAATTATTTAAATCTCATTTTAACATACAAGTCAGATAACATTTTCAATCAACTTGCTACCAGCAAATCACCATTTTAAAATCCAAGAGGGTTCTAAAGGAAATCTTTTATTTCCAACTTTCTACCAAATTATCATTCTATATTTTGAGAATCATATTCTCTCCATGGAAAAATAAGCCACCCTTCTAAATTCATGGGATAAAAAGCAGCTGTCACATCAGAAGCTAATGACTACATAGTGTCTATGTTATTAATCTCTATTAAATTTTTCACTGTTTTCAAATAACTCAATCATCCCTAGCAGTCCTTTACAATCAGTGGGTGCACTGGGAATAGGTAGAATTTGTTATAACCTTATTTAGGATTCAAATATAAGAATATGTTTGGAGTGTTCATTCAAAATACATATTCTACCTTAAATAAGGGGAAAATTTTGCTTCCTTTAGAACCAAAAAAACAACATCTCACGAATAGTTAAAACTCCAAAATAATGAGCGCAAACGGTAGACTTTTTATTGGGGTGAATGTTTCCTACTTGCATAACCACTGGCTATTTCTTTGAAATTGGAAATGTATGGCCCAACCAAACTGCAAAGCACCATTTTATGCAAAGCTAATATTACACTTAACAATGGCTTGGGTCCAATTTCAAAGTACTTGAAGAAGCATGATGATGGGATGAGTTCTGAAAATACACTTTATTGTAATAAACTGAAATGTTTTTCAGCTACATTAGTTCACTTTTCCTCCCAAACTATGTGACAAAGTTGTCCTGCAGACAAAGTAAATCAGCACTCTTCCAAATTATTTTTATTTCTTGTTTTCTATGTTTCTATGACTAAAAATATATAAACCATCCAGGTTTTTTTTTTTTTTTTTTTTTTTTGCAAATTACATTTAGAAATAGTTACTGGATCCATGAGATCCCATACATCACACTACCGCATTTCTCAGTTTCCCCTTCCTCTGCTCTGCTTTCCTTCCAAAGTGGGGGAAGAGGAGGAATACAGGACAGCTAACACACTTCAGATCTAATCTATAACTACTGTGATTCAGTTTTTAAATTCTCATCTTCTTGACTAAAAAACCATAACTCACCCCAAACACGCCCCATGTGTTATTTCTCTCTACTTTCCTCAACTACTCTGTATCTAAACAAACTTTTACCAGATTATGTGCCCTGACTCAGAGACAGCAAAAGAAATTGGCCTGTAAACAAAAGGAAGTCCGTCCCTCAGGTGGGCATTTCCTTTTGGAAATTTAAGAAGCTTAGTCTAGGGAAAGGCTCAGAGGCTGCTGGGAATTCAGCAGAATGTTGCTTTCTATTCCAGGATGGAAGACGAAGTCTCAACACCAGGAAGGACGACAGTTACCTTCTCCTTCACCTGGCCTGGAAGAGCATAAATGATTTCTCCATTTACAGAGCTTTCTATGATCAGCTGCCATCACTCTTCATGTTGAATGGAGAAAGGGGATGAAGAGGGTGAGAAGAGGAGACAGGGGGAAGGAGGAGAGGGGAGAAGAGAAGGGAATGAATGAGGAAGGGATGATGGAGGGAGAGGAAGGGATGATGGAGGGAGAGGAAGAGATGAGGGAGGGAGAGGAAGGGAAGAGGGAGGGAGAGGGAGGGATGAGGGAAGGAGAGGGAGGGATGAGGGAAGGAGAGGGAGGGATGAGGGAAGGAGAGGGAGGGATGGAATAGGTAAAGATAATGGGGAGAAACATTTTTCTGTATTTTAGTCTTAAAGAGGGAAGAAAACACTCCACCAAAAGGAGATAAGGAAAACGTGCAAGAGATTAAGCATAGATTCTTTATTTAGGCATCACCACAAACTTCTACATGTGAGTATTTAAAGAATACTTTAAACAGAAAATGCAAAACATTTTATATAAAAATGGCAATAATAAAAATCTAAAGTAAATAGCTCTCAAGACCTAAAATGAATCAAGTAAAAGCAGCTCTCAAAAAATGAAATAGCTTGGAACTTTCTCTCACTTAGATTTTAGATTATATTTCAAAGAAAAAAATGCATTACCAACAAAATGCTCTTTGAAAATATCCAAATTTAAAAAAAAATATTGCTCTCAGGAATAATAATAAAAGATAATGACTTGCTTTAAAAAGCAAACTTAAAACTTTGGCAGGCCCACTCAATTTTTCTTCTCTTTAGGACATACAACCTTAAAACAATAGAGAAGTGGGAAAAGCTGGAGAGAAAGAACATCTATGGGAACTCATACATGACTACCAAAACTCAAATTTTGTTTTTGGCAGCAGTAGCAAATTATTTCAATTTGAAGATTTAATCAGGATGGGAAGGACACATCTTAAGGAAATCCTCAATTCAGTAGGAAATAGGGAATAAACCTATTTTGCTGAGAGCTAAAGTTTGTATTGGTAACAAACAAACAAGAAAATGGTGTTAATGCAAATCCAAAATTTTTGACTGACAATCTTAAATTCATACTACGGATACTTTAAAGATAACAAAAACAAACATATATTATTCAGTCCTCAAATTAATTATTAAATGAGGAGATAACAAGTCAGTATCTTTCTCTCATGCCAATTCTCTAATTTCCTCTTTTTACAGACTATTACTGAGAACACAGCAGCACTCCTCTTGCCAGCAATTCAAAGGAGGTTATAACATGCCCATGTTCTGGACTTCTCTACTCTGATGCTCATGGAAAGTATAGACAGTTTTCCAGGTCATCAATTTTTGAGGTTTTAGATAGACAGTGAAAAACACCTTGTAAGTTAAGGACTGTCTTGGAACATTTCCCACGAGCAGAGGAGACCATCACCTGGGTTCAGCTATGTTGAGTGTATAGGATTTTATGAGATTAAGAACAAATTTTGAGAGAGCTTAACACTTCATGGTGACCACAGAAACACCCTTGCTCAAGCTTTCCTGGAACGTGAACAATAGGATAAAAATAATGCCAGGATCTTTATGGCCAGTTTAGCACCAAAATGTGCCTTTCGGCCCACATCTCCCATTCTGATACCAAGAGCCTTCTAGGTCTAATCATTAAAACACCATGTTGGAAATGGGAGAAGTGTTTCTAATTTTAAAATTAAGTAAAAGCAGATGCTGCAGTGCCATTAAACTCTTCCAGCTGCTACTGAACCACTGGCAACCTGGGTCTATTTAATTTGGAGCCTGCTAATGGTAAAAAGGAAAAATCTGTCTGCCAGAATTGCACACCCAAGTCAAACCAGAGAGGCAGAAAATGAAAACAGCTCATGAAAGCAAATGTATCCTAACAAGGCTCTCCAGCTGATGACGGGCAATTTTTCCTGTGGTTAATAGCTAAAAAAAAAGGTTGTTGCTTATGAAATCCTTAATTCAAATACAGCCAAACAAGCAGTGCTATCCATAATGTGTCAGTTGATTTTGTTCATCTTAGTTTATGCTTTCTAAAAATGAGTCTTTACTACAACACTTTAGGATGCAGACAGGTTTAAATGCATTCACAGCCTACCTGGGGGCATTGTTAATATTGATTAATTAAAGTGAGACAGCAAATAAATTAATATGTAGCAAGGTCAGAATGACAGATTGGTTTGATATCCAAGGGCCTGCAGCCAGATGAGTTATTGCTTCTCAAGAGGCAGCCTGCTCTGAGGTGGGGAGAAGTGGAATGCCTTACAGGTGGCACGGAACTGACAGCAGTGTGTAATGCAAAAGCGCTTTGTCATTCACATAATGTCTGGGGTAATGAAATGAATTCACTTTCTGGCTTCCTCTAGTCTGCGATGCCAAAGAACACTGTGTTATCAGCACAGATGGAGCATGCGTGGTTCTGGAGAAGAGCCTGGTGCGAACTACAAACAAGCCACTGTGAATACCAATGAATCCCTAAGAGTCAGACCCTCGCTGTCAAATGACAGTTTGGGAAGCTCCATAGAAATGAGCGAGTCCCAGTGGTCTTGTCCAACCAAATGTACTGTCAAGATTATGGACAGGCAATTTGGAAATCATGCAAATCATAGAAGCCTGACTGCTACTTCACTGAGTAGAGCAAGGAGTGAAAGATATTCATCCATGGGGCTGGGGTTGTGGCTTAGTGGTGGCGCTCTCACCTAGCATGCATGAGGCACTGGTTCGATCCTCAATACCACATAAAAACAAAATAATATGCCTGCATAAAACTAAAGATACACAAATAAATGTTTAAAAAAAAAAAAGATATTGGTCCATGAGATGCATCATCTTCTTAATAAGTAGAGGCGAAGTAGATAATCTAAGCTGATCCAAATACTAATCTACTTCTGAGTCAACCATCTCTGCTCAGGAGACCACTCATCAGTTGAAGAAAAAATGGATTCCCAAATATGCTTTATGTTACTATGAAATATTAAGTTGTGAAGTCAATGAACATTAACAAATAATGCATGGAAAAATGATTAGAAAAGAGGCATACCCATCAACATACTCAGAAGTCTCTGGACCTTTGAACTCACCCCCACAACTCTGTACAATCCTTGGTCATTTATACCTATTGGAAGAAACGAAATGTTAGCAAAATACAACAGTATCAGATTTAAAAAGCTGTCACCAAACAATTGCAGTCAGAATCTTTGCTAACTCACATTAGCAACATTCCTGTTGACTGTAAAAATAATGTTCGACAAAAATCAAGTGTTTATACCAACTTTTTTTTTTTTTTAAACCGGCTTTGTATTTGTGTGCTATGGTTGGAAAATAACTTAAATCAATTTTCCATGTGGACAAAAAGTAATGAGTCAATGTTAATGAAAAGTCGAGCATCATGGATACACTAAAATGTATTCCAATGCAACTTGTAAAGATACATTAAACCTTATGTTTCTTCGGTTCACTTGTTCACATTTCTCTTAAAGTGTTAGTCTTTTAAAAATAATATAGTGATTAGGATATAAAAAGAAACCATTGTTTGGATGATTATTGGATACCAGTCAAGAATAAAGCAGTATTTTTAAAGAAAGAGTTGTTATATGCCCTGCCCAAGTGTGTATCAACCACAAACTCTACTGCAAAATAAACCAAATCATTGCAAACTCTTCTGCAGAAACCTGAAAATCAGGGGTCCTGGAGCACAAAAGATAATAAAGGCAAGAAAAGTTACATCAGACACAATTTCATATGCTGAATAAATGTCCCTTTTGGATTCTCATCTGCACAAACCAATTGTAAATGACACTTGAGAAACAATCAGGATACTCTGAGAGGCATTCAGGTGATACAAAGAAATTTCCTTCCACTGAAAGGAATGGAAGTCATCTGTCTTAGATTTGCTGGAAGAGGAAGACGAGATGGTTGAAGCAACTGGGCAGCCTGTACATATTGCTGAAACTGGGTGATAAGAGTATGGGCAGTCATTGCACGGAATTCTCTAATTCAATGGACTTGAAAAATTATATAATAAAGCAATGACTCCCCCCAAATAGGACTACTTGTCTATACTTCCAAAGAGTTACAGCTTCAGGGCTATGTGTCTATTTTCTACGCTACAAATGTTAAAGCCAACAAGAACACGACTGGCTGACAAGGAAATGACATCTCTAATCCTCAAAGTTTCCAAAACAAAATAACTCAACAACAAAAGGCCATGAGATCTGCACAAAGGGGTCTATTTTCTTCTTACCTCCTGCACTGATGAAAAGAATACTAGACAGAGTCTAAAGCACTGGATTCAAGTCTAGGTTAGACAAGCATGAGCAAATTAGGAAACCTCTGAGACCCAAGGCTACATAGGAGATCAAGGGCAACACCCTAGGCCCTAGTATGCTGGGAGGAAAAAGATGCTAGAAACATTCTGTACATTATAATGCACTCTGACACACACATCCACATACACTTTCTTTTTTTCTTGCCAGAAATCAGTTTTTTTCTTTTCCTCCATTTTGCCTTTTATTTGTCTTTACTCATTTTTAAACTTCTCAAATGTTCTATTTTGCCTTTGATTATGGGCCAAATTTGTGACTTTCACAGATTTACATGTTAAAGTCCTAACTCCAGTATCTTAAAATGTGACTGTATACAGAAAAAAAAAAAAAAGAAAGGTCTTTAAAAGCAGTAATTCATTTAAAATGAGGTCATCTGGGTGGGCCCTAGTCCAATATGACTGGTGTCCTTGAAAGGAGAGAACTTTTGGACACAGTAAAAGCTGGCAGCCTGCAAGCCAAGGACAGAAGCTTCAGAAGAAACTGACCCTGGCGATAGCTTTATAATACACCTCTAGCCCCACCAAAATTATGAAAAAGTAAATTTCTATTTTTTAAGTCACCCAGTATATGACTTTGTTACAGCAGCCTTGCCCTACTAATACATGCTCTCTCTCCATTCTCTCATTAGAACTCAGAGAACCAGGAGGGCCAAGGCTAGCCCCCAGTCTACCCAGAATGCAAGAGTCCCAGCAGCAAAGAGGCTCCTTCCTAATGTGGGACAGCCACTAACTAAAACAGGAGATGGGGCAGCATGGCCCTGCCTCAAATTGCAAAAGAGAAGAGGAAAATGCCAAGAAATAAAAATCAGAGAATTCTGAGCCTGCTCCAAGGAGAAAGACTGAGCTACTCATTCCTTCCTTCTCCTAGAAGCCAGGGGACCTGTCCAGAGTGTTTAAAATGCCAGAGGATTTTGTTCAGCAGCACTACTCTATTAAATAAACCTACAACAACAGCTTGACCCCAGTGCCAGAAGTAAAAAGAGCAAGTCATATTCTGCAAACAAATATGCACCTCTGTGAAAAGTGCCTGAAATATATGGAAAGATGAAATAAGAATGTTACTTCAGCAATAATCATCACTCTGCTGGTAATTACTATCAGATAATTGATCAAGTTCAAATTCATCACCCTGAGAAGAGTAGAGTTAATTGCTAATGCATAATGAAAGGTGCGAAGGGGAAGGAAAGTTCCTCAACACAGTTTTTCCTTTTCTTAATGAAATTTAAATAAATCTCATGCAAAAGCAGTTCAGAAACGGCACATGAAATACTCAAGTCTTGTGGGATTATCTCTCTCGCAACACTCCTTTGAAAGGCCCTGGACTAACAAAACGAGAAGAACTTTAATCTACAAACACATACGTGTTCATATAAAAATGTCAACTGTGTTAAGAGAATATAGACCAACATGCCAGTTCATACTAGTGGGCCTAATCACCTCCCTTCCAGCTTCTTCCCCAATTTCCCTCTTGCTCAAAGGGATCACTCTTTCTAGTCACCAAATATTAGAATTTTCAAGTTTAACTTGTCACGTTCCAAATTCGACAGGTCAATGTCCACTCAATCTTCTAACTGAAGACTAATCTCTGCCTCTTTAACACAGTCTTGAGTTCTTTGCACAGGAACACCCACATTCCAACCACCACCGTCTTTTCCCCTCTATATTCCTAGCATTCATATCACTTTTATTATCGAAGGTCCTCACCGTCCCCATTTTAAGAGTAAGCCAGCAGATGAAGCCCCTTTCCCAGCCTTGACAAGTACATAAGTATCCATAAGGGGCCCCACTCATCTACCTACGTCTATCGCACAGCAGGCTGCTGTCCCCCACAGAAAACCAAGTTCACACTATCCTTCGTGACTATATTCAGGCTGAGGTCTCTCCCCTGACAGGAATGGTATGCCCCGTCTACCCAAGATGACTCACCTGTCACCTATGTATTCAAATATGTGCCAGGTGCAAGAAGCTACTCAAGATTCAGCAATGAGTAAAATAAATTTCGATCCAAACCTTCAAAACCAGACCAAATCCTACCTTTTCTGACTCTAGCCCAAACTAATAGTCCCTTTCCCTAAACATAATCATAATCAATTCCTTTTATTTCAACACTTGGTCACGTTCTAAACCATGTCCATAATCTCTTAGTCACAACTCCAAAAACCAGAATTCTCAATGCTTGACCTTGAACACATCATGTTAAGTCTTTATTTTCCCCACTTAGAGTGAATGCTCATATTCAACCATGTAAAAAATAATTTCCAGGGCTGGGGTTGTAGCTCAGTGGTAGAGCACTTGTCTAGCATGCATGATGTTCAGTCCTCGGCACTGCATATAAAAATAAAGGTATAAAAAATACAATAACATTATAAAAACAGTCATTTCCACAAACTTATCTAGAGATGCACATACTATATAGACCTGTATTACCTTTTTACTTAAAGAAAAAAATTACATTCTGAAACACATCCAGAATTAGAATTTTAAAACAAACAACTGCAGAACTCTATTCTATCTTCTCTCCCAATATGCAGATATTACCTTGAGAAATATTAGGTCAACTTTGTGTCTGTATTTATTTATTTTGGTAAATGGCACCTTGCATTAAATAGTTGGGCACAAAATAGGTAGGTAGTGCTATGTTGATGTGACTTGAAATTAACTTAGAACTATAGATACAGATTGGACCAAAATGTATTCTAAACTAAGAAAGCTAAATATCCAAATTATTGTAACTTTTTGAGTGTATAAAGGCTTACCAATAGATAAATAAAATATTTTCTGGGTTTTAGCAAAAAAAATTGTAATTTGGCCCAAAAGTGTTTATAAGCCCAAAGATTTTTCTTTTAATAGATAAGACTGGTTTCAATGGGTAGTAATATACAAATTCCAATACAAAGAAGATCATCTGATTACAGATATCCCCAGGAAAAGTGGATAAGGTAAAATCCAGAATGTTTTACTTCCTATCACCAGTCTCTTCTAATCTGCCACTCTGCTACCACAGAGTGTGACCCACTTCTTCTGTGAGGAGATATCAAAAAGTGGGAATGAATGAAGTTTCATTACAATATCTGCCCAGTTGTTTCCCTCTCAGAACCCAGAAGATATCACCAGAGCCATAATATATTTGGCACCCACAGGCCCTTTCAAGTGATCTGGAGAAGCAAGAGAGAAAGGAAGATGCTCTGGGACAATAAGAGTTAAGGTACAAAAAGGAGAATATGATTTAAAAGGATCAATAAACTCAAACAACAGAAGTGGAGGTAAGACTGGACAGGCTGTGTCTTAGTCTATGTTCTGCTGCTATAACAGAATGTCTTGGACTGGGTAACAGATGACAAAAAAAAATTTCTTTAGCTTATGGTTCTAGAGTCTGGAAAGATCAAGGGGTCACATCTCGTGAGAGTCTTCTTGCTGTCATCACATGCGGGGAGCAAGGAGGATAAGTCAGCAAGGAAAAGTGGGGGGGCAAAACATTCTTTAATCAGGAGCCGACGCCTATAATCATAACCTCATTCCCCAGACAGTGTTAATTTACTCACGAGGGCAGAGCCCTCTGTACCTAATCACCTCTCAATCCGGCTGCAGTATGGGTTAAGTTTTCTACACCGGAACTTTGGGGACACATTTAAACCACAGTAGGATACAAGTACACACACACACACACAGTGAGCAGGGCAAAGAATGCAAAGCAAAAGGGGAAAACAGAAAGGAATGAGGTTAGCAGGTGAGGTAGTCCATAATATTGAATTATCAAGTACTAACTATATTTCAAGCACCCAGAATTAAGT